GAGATTGGAGGGAGAGACGGGGAGCGAGAGACACAGAGACCAGAGACAGAGTGAGACTCGAGGGGGAGACGGAGGCCGCGAGGTAGCAGAGAGCAGAGACAGAGTGCGAGAGCGCAGTGGTGGGAGCGGCAGAGAAGGGCACGAAGACGCAGCGTCAGACGCACGGGGCGCGGCGCTGGCCGCGAGCGAGACTCTAGGCCACTTGTCCGTCCGCCAGGATTCCTGGGGCGGAGGGGGTGGGGGCGGCCGAGGGAACTCGCAAGCGCTGGGTGCGCACCCACGTTCTCCGCACAGGCACCTTGCGATTTGCGTGACCGTCACGGCCCCCCCAGCCCCCCCCGTTCTGCAGCTGCGGACGCCGGAGCTCAGAGAAGGGAAATGACTCGCCCAAGGCCACGCAGCTGGCGCGTGGTACACGGGGCAAAGGGAACGGGGGCCGAAGTAACAACAGCCGGATTCTTTGTAATTTTTGGTTTTGTTTGAGTTTAGCAGTGTGGGTGGAGGTGGGATGGCAAGTCGGGAAAAGTAAAAACTTCCCCGTCCTGCACAATTCCCGGCCAAGGACGGGGTGGAGGTTCGGGGGACGCTCCTGTCTTGCACTTTGCAAAGTTCAAAAAATTCCCTTTGCTCACCCTCCACGCTGCACAGCCGGCCCCCTTTCCAGATGGTGGGGGGCGAATAAAATGGGAAAGGGAGGTGTCCAGTCAGACCCACCACAGCCCCAGCGTGGGGAGGAAGAGGTTAATGCCCGTGTGGCTGGAATCGATTCAGGGAAGAAATTCTCAAGCATCCCCTATAGACGCTGCCTGCTCGACCCGTTCTCTGGGGACCCGGAGTCTCGGTGACCGCCCCCGGCTGGGGTGAGACTCCTGCCCCCCGTGCGCCCCCGCCCCGCTGCGCCCCCTTCTCCGCGCGCCGGCGCCAGGTGCACCCAAGCGCCCCGGGGAACGGCGATGCTTTTCGGACCCTGCAGGGGACGCTGCAGCGGGCGCAGCGAAGGGCCCTCCCCCTCCCCGCCCCCCTGGCTGCCGCCCCTCTCCCACCCGCGGGCAGCGCCTGGGCTATAAAGAGCGGCGTCCCAGGCACGCAGGGAGATTTGGACGCCCCGGCCTGGGAGGTGTGCCAGATCGAGCTCTCCCACCAGTTTCTTCTCCGCTAGCCCCCAGCTGGAGCTCTGTAAGTAGTGGTGGTCCTCCCCGGGGCAGATTGGGCGGGGGATCTGAGGGTCCTGCAGAGTATTCTACAGGGGCTGGCGACCGCCTAGGGGTCTCTGTTGGCATCAGCCTCTTAAGGACCGTGGTGAGGAGGTAGGGGTCCCAGATTTCTCATTGCTCTCTGCTCTGTCAGCCCACATCATCCTTGATTTTCCCCACGTCAGCATTTCCCAAGGTTGCCAATGAGAAGTACCACATTAGAGGTGCTCATCAAGGATACCAATGCCTGGGCCCAACTAGAATCACCAAAAACCCGTCCTTTAAAAAAAAAAAAAAACAAAAAACAAAAAGCAGGAGTCTTGGACGATTCTTGTTTCCAGGTGGATCTAGAAGATGCGCTTTCTTAGAAATCTCAGAGGTGCAGTGTTGACAATCAGCCTTCTCACTTTTATTCTAGGCACGAAAAAAAGTGCAGCTGAACTTCGCTGAAAAGTCACTTGCTGCCACAGGCAGGCGAAGTGAGGCTGCAGGTGGATTTGGACGCGTTGCTCCGTTGTGTTGAAAATGTGTTAAATCAGTTAAAAACACGTGAGCAAAGGCTCAGCAGAGAGGGGAGTGTTTTTCCTATCTAGAGGATGTCCGTGTTGATAACCCCAGGGAGATAAGGCGTGTTATGAGCCAGTTTTATGACAGTCCAGCTTTCTTCCAGACCCCACCCCTTCAAAATTTAAAAAGAAAAAAAATCTCATCCAGGTTGACCCCAGGGGCCCCAGATACCCAGGTGAACCCAAAGTCTCTGGTTACGTTCATGAGGCGCAGGTGCGTTAGGTAAGATTACGCGGGGATTGCCTGCAGTTGCCGGGACAAATTTTACTCTCGTGCCCAACCAAGCGGGCAAAAGGAGAGAAAGTGTGGCTACTGCCCGTTGAAAGTTTTCTCCTGGCACAGAGACCTGGAGTGCGGGGGATTTTGCTGCTCGAGGAAAGGTGCCGTTCAAAGCCACGCTTGTCAAGCAGCAAAAGAAAGTATTTAGAATCCCAAGGCAGGGAGCGTATAGTTGCAGTGCTGAGAACTGATAGGTTAAATTGGGAACTATCTCAGGGTTTGGCAAAGGGAAGGGAGGCTGTTAGGAAACTGCTTTGCATGGTTCTGTTTTCTTTGCAGACTTCTTCGTTTCTCTGGTTTACTTAAAGATACTATTTTAGAATTGTTTAAAGACAGAGAATTTGAAGACGCTGAACTGCAAGTTGCTGGATGGCAGGGTGTATTGAATTTTGTTGGAAGAAAAAGCAGTCTTTCCTTGCTGACTTCCCATCGAGATAGCTCCCATGGATGGAACACTTATGTGCCAGGCACTGTAGCAGCATTTGACCGAATATATCTCATTTAATCATTGGAACAACTTCATGAGGGAGGAATTATGATGCCCGTGTAGTATATAAGGCAGCCGAGGCCCAGCGAGGTTAAGTAACTTGCCCAGTGTCAAACAGCCAGAAAGTGGCTAAACCCATTCCCAGATCTACCTGATGCCAAGTTTATACCTTTGACCATGTTATCTTTTTTCTTTACCATGGACAAAAACACCTTGTTGCAGTCAGGTTTCTGGTGGGACCAAATGCTTCCAGCTAACTATTTATCATTATCTCTTTGAACAAAGCAAAAACTGACCTTTTGCAAATTTAAAAATAAAATGTGCTATTTGTCCCCTGGTGGGATGCTGATCTAGTTGAAACCAGTGACCTTAGGTGGGCTGCCGTCCCAAGAGTGCAGAATGGGAACTCACTGGGCCGTTTCTGAGAAGCCTTTGGGCTTGCCTTGTAAACATCATGTTTTTTTATTATCATGTCTGAAATAGACGCGGTATTCCGTACAAGGTATTTGTTATGGATTTGTTATCATTACTTTTCTGTGGGAGGGCTGAGATTGAGGCAAACATGCCCATTTATGGAAGCATTTTCCATGAGGCTGTCCCTGGCCCCCTCATCAGCTACCCAGCCTTGCACCGCAGCCTTGTTGGTTGTGGCTCTAGAGATTTCTCTGCCTTGACCTTCCCCTTGAGGAGCCAGTGGAGGAGCCTGGAGGAGAAGACATTTGGGAAGAAAGGGAGATCCTTTTTTCCTACCCCCTCCTATTTGGAAGTTTTCTTTTTTGGGGGAAAAATTATCTCCTCCTTTCCAAAGCTCATTAAATTCAAACCCGTGGGTTTTATGTTCTAGGCATAACCATGTAATTCTAAAATTGGATATACAGTAGATTTTTCTGGAAAACCAAGTCCAATTTTAAATCCATTGGAATCATAGAAGGTCACACACAAATTTTGAAATACCTACATTGTCCTCCTCAAACCTCAGTTTTGCCATCTGTGAATTGGGGCTAATGAGACTAGCTAATGTTTATTGAACACTTTTGCCAGGCAACATGCTAAACCCTTTGTGGGTCTTATTAAGTCTTCACAACAACCCTTTGGGAAGATACTGTTATTACTGGCTCTCTCTAACAGATATGGAGTCCAAATAACTTGCTCAACATAGCTCAACCAGCCAGTAAGGAAGACAGTAGTCTACAAACCAAGATCTTTCTAACTCCAGGGCCTAAGGGATTATTCTTTGGGGAGGATTAGATGAGATGATGTGTATGAAGGGTTTAGCACATGGTGGCTCCTGGTAAACTTCAGTGGATGGTTATTTATAGCAAACAGGACCAGAGATGTTAAGGAGCTTGCTTAGCGCAGCACAGTTAGTACTTGGCAGAACCAGGAAGCCTATCGTGTGGTCTTTCCACAAAGCAGAAACTTGCCCCAAATTTTTCTGTGATTTGTTTTCATAAACCCAATTCCTATTTGGGCTAAAAGTGGTGATTAGAATCTTCTTCTATTTTAATATAGCCACACTTCCTTACGTGGGTCAGGAATGTTACAAACTCCAGCTACATTAGCCCGTTCGTGGTTTGATAGGGTCTCAATGACATCCTTTAAGGGCTCACCTGTGATGGGGTGGCCTGCTTGCTGTCTGGGTCTCCTCTATCCACCCCTGACCTTTAAACATTTAACCATGGCCACACAATGGAGGACAGACTGAGTTTGGGTAAGGCCAGGCAAGAATTCGAGAGCTTGTATGGGATCAGAGGACAGAGGAAGGAGCTGCCCACGGCAACTGAAAGGGGAGGTCAGACATTTCTGGCTTCTATCAGGGGTTCAGGGGCTCAGGAGAAACAACCCTCCTCAAGTTTGCTGAGAAAGGACCATAGAACCTACCTGCTCACTCTTTGTAAGCACGGCTCTTTGTCTACTTATGTGAGTTTATCTGCAGGATAAATTCCCAGCGATGTAATTGCTAAATGTAAGAGCATGCGCACCTAAAATCAATAACTATTGCTAAATGGCCCTCTAGAGACATTGCAGATTTTAACTTCTAACAGTCACATATGAGACTGTACGTTTATTTTAAGCCATGCTATGGTAGAGTTGTAAAATGCAAAATACAGGGAGCTTTTAGGACCAGAAATGACCAGTTCCTGCCCTCTTCCAAAAGCATCTTCCACAGGGGGTACTGTCGCTCTTGCCAAACAAGTTCTCTTGGTTGGAAGCAAAAAATAATTTACTAATTAAAAGAACTGCTTCCTGAAGTGACTTTAAGAACAACTGGTATTCAAATGATCAGGCCAATGTCATAAGGAGGCAACAAAGTGACAGGTTCACCATTCACTTTTTCCTGTTATAGTGGGCTAGAGCTTCCTTGGGACCATGCCCTTGGGAGGTGGGGGTGAGGGGCAGGGACAAGAAAGAGATTTTCTGCTAAGAGCAAATTGGGTGTCAGATCTGGGTTCAAATTCTGACTTGAACTTTTACAGGCGAGGACCTTTCATTTACCTTTCAGGGCCTTGCTAGTCTTAGCAGGAAAGTGGGAGCAATGAATAATGCCCATCTCCTTGTGGAGATGCAGTGAAATGGCGAATGTAGGAGACGGTCTGGCCTGATACCCAGTGACCAGAAGGGGCCCAGTGGAATACAGTGGCTGTTATTGTTAATAATAATAGATTTAGAGTCCAAGTTGCCTCCTGGGGACAGTTTGGGGCCTGGAGAGCTGGTGCATTTAGAGTGCCCCGTTTGTCTCCCTGTTCCCTGCGACACATGGCGCCTCCCTGCGCCCGGACCAGTGTGTCCGCGCTGCAGAGATGCCTCCTGCTGGTAGGTTGTGTTGCAGACCAGGTCCACAGAACTTTGGTTTTGCCTGCATGGCATTTAAAATGTGAGCAATAATTTAACCTCTGGCCTCGGTCACTCTGATCTGCTCACCTGACTCCCGGCGACATTTGGGTTTGTGTCTCTGGTCCAAAATCTTGAGCTGATGGCTTGGCGGTGAAATCCCGAGGAAAGCTGTTGACCAAGCCTGACGATGTGCAAATCCTATGCTCTTTCGGCTCTGGAGTATTTAATTTATTTTTCATTAACGCCAAAGTGGAGGGAGCCACTGAGTTTTACCCCTGAGTCCCTCTGGGGAAAATAAAACTGATGGTGAAACAGGCAAAAGCAGCTGAACATCATCATTTGGTCCGATTTCAACCCTTTGACCAGGAATCACAGGTACCATAAAATGGTAGAGCTAGGCCAGCCCACCGCTGTTTTTTTCTAAATGAAAAACACAAGGCCTAGAGAGGGAGAGTGACTTTCCCAGAGTCATCCAGTGAGTCTGAGGCAGAGCTGGGGCTTGTAATTTGGAGTCCTGAGGTCTTCCGGAGGCTAATGAACAGCTCGTTTGTGCTCAGAGAACGAAGCAGTGAGTTGTTGGTAAGGACAGGACGGTGAACAGGGCTGACACACTCAGACGTGTGGCACATTGCTAATGTTGATAGTGACAGCGTCCTTGGCTTCCATCGAGACATTCAGGAGTAGCCCTGGATGGATGAGCTGTACGTGGCGTCCGTCGGTTCTGTGTAGTAATCCCAGAGATGTCCTTTCAGCTCTCAGAGCTGATGCAGGACCTTGGACGTGGGTGTTGCTGGAGAAGGGGGAGCACTCGGAGA